CGTCTTGGACGTTGGCTCGATAGGCATCGAAAACTTTTTCATGCAAAGACCGTCGCCCGCGCGCGATTGTGTGTGTGCATAGTGTCCGCGCGTACATGTGAGTGTGTGTGTGCGTGTAGATATATACATGCCTTTTCAACAATTCAAATGGTCTCTCTCTCTCTCTTTCTCCCCCTCGGTCTTTTCGCATTTTTATCGCTTCTCGCATGATCGCTCGCTTGCTATATATGCGCCTCGAGACACATGTCGAACGATGAAGGCAGCAGCAAATGAAAAAAAAAAGGAGGCGCGCATTGGCTAGATTTTTCTAATTTTTCCTCCGCTCTAAAAAACATTTCCCGATCGCGTTTTGCGTATAAAAATATATTATATTCATAAATTTGTATATAATATATATATATATATATATTTTAGTGCGCACGCGCGTGTGTGAGTGTGTACAAGCGCATTCATTTCGTAACCTCTACTCAATTTATCATTGAGTCAGTAGGTTGAATATGTATACCAGCATTATAGCCGCTGCATGTGTATTGCAGTGCACAGTTGATAAACCGTTAGATCTACCTACTTTTTTCGCGCGTATTATGCAATTGCTGCGGAATTGCGACCGGTTTTTTTCTTTTTTTCTTTTTCGTGCATTCAAAGAAATCCGCAAATAATTTTTGCCGTTTGAATTAACAATTTCGTGCGCGTTTTAATTCGATTTGTCAATGTGCGATTTATGAGGCAGCCGCCGCAGCAAGTGGTGTGTGCGCGCGCGCGTAACCGTAACTGAAAAATTAATCTAATTGCCGCTGCGGTGCGCAAAATTTCCTCTCTTTTATCGAACTCTTTATTAGTTTTTTTTTCTTTGATTATTAATTCCATGGCTCGGCCGCAAGTACATTTATGCACTATGCACGCCATCCGCGATCGAGCGCACGAAATATATAATAACAATATATTCTTCTTAATGATGTATATATAATATGTTTTATTGAACTGATAAAGAAAATTGCGATGATAATGACGGGTATATGCTGCTCTTATCACGAGATAAGAGCATTGAGTGAGCGAGCTGCTGCATGGCGCGCGCACAAGACGCCTTATTATACGTATGCATGCTATATAAAACGCGAGGAGAGAACGTTGCAACTTCTTTTTTTCTTTCTTTTCTTCCCTTTTTTGTTTCGTTCCTTTTTTCATTATGCTTCGATCGAGAGCAAAGAGAGTGATTGTAAAACGTAAGTACGTATACGTAATGAAACTTGCCTTCGAGAAAGTTCAATGACATTTTGTTGCTTCTCGCTTGCGCGAGCAGTAGCAGCAGCAACGAGCGACCATCGACGTTATCCGCGTTGCGTATCTCTTCTCTCTCGCTCTCTCACTCTCCCTCTGAGTTCGCGCTTGTGGTTGGCTGAGTGGCTACATATACGTCAGATGGACGTATGCGTGACTTTTGTGTGTACCTCTTTTACAAATTGCACGAAATAAAAAAAGACGACGAAGGCGAGACAGAGAGGGAAAGAGGAAAAAGGAAGACGAAATTGGGTCAATGACGTTTGACAGTAGTAACTGATATAAATCATACGACTGTCGAGGCTCTCGAGCGAGAAAGAGAAAGAGAAAGAGAGAGAGAGAGAGAGAGAGAGAGAGAGAGAGAGAGAGAAACGATAATATTATGTTGTTAATTTTTTTTTATTGATTACGTATGATATTGGTATTATTAATACTTTTTATTTAATACGTGGATATAAAAAAAAGCCTACTATAAGCTCGCGCGGAGGACTAGCGATAACGTTTTAAAAACGAGTATAGTATAGTAGCCGCGAAAATGTATTATTAATCAAGTCGAGACACTTTAATGATCATTAATTGCAGAAGAAAAAATCGCCAGGCGCCGAAAATAATCGCAGCGCGCGCGCTTTTTTTGACAAAATTTGTATAATATCGAGGTATAAATCACCGTTACCGAAAAATCGCATATTATTAAACGCTCACGCGCGTTGATATGTATAGCAGCGGCCGCAGCATCAGCAGCACATATGCATCGCGCTCTCTGCGAATCCGGTTTTACATTGCTCATAATTTTTTTTTTACTTTTTTTGTTTAATAATAACTAAAATAGCTCTTCTCTCTCTCTCTCTCTCTCTCTCTCTCTCTCTCTTGGGCTCACTCATACTTATAATAATCGTGAAAACGAGACAACTGGACGAACTCGTTTTTGCGTATAATATATAAATTCACGAATCGACTCCGCGAGCAGCGCAGCTCGAGAGGTTGGCGCGCGCGCGTTGTATATAAACTTTCGAAACACACAAACAGCGACATTATACACACGCGTGTGTGTCCCCATATGCATAAGAGAGCTGATGTCTGTACTTTTGTGGAGGCTCGTTGGCGCCACGTGCGGCAGTGCTGAAACGAGAAAAAAAATGCATACCCGCGCACAGAAATAAGATACTCGTCGCGTACGAAGTGAAAAAAAGAAGAAAAAAAAATCGCCGACCTCGACGATAACGCGCGAACACACACACACAATCTCGCGAGTATAAAGGTCTCGTCGTCGAAAAAAAAGATTTCGAAAAACACGAAATCAATAAGAAAGCTCGTTTCATTTAGTGTTATCGTTTTATAAAAATTCTCACCTCTTCCTTCTCTTCTTCGTCTTTTTTTTTCGCTTGTATATACACACAGACACAAATTCGAAAAGTCCTCAAATGAAAAAATTAAAGTATCGGTGCGCATATATTTACATTGCACTTCACTTAGTGTATATTTTTTTTTCTCACCTCCGTGCACCTTTAATGTACTCGTGCAAATATTAGATATCGAATAGGTAAAAAAAAAAAAAAATAAATAAATTATCGAATGATTGCGCTTACAAGTCCCTATACACACGATTGCCAACACATTTTTCACGAACTTTTACACGCACACAGCACTCGCATATACACAAGTGTGTGTGTGTTTGTAAATTGCAGCTGATATTCAATTATACGTGCTGTACATATATACACATGTTGTAACGTCTGATTTAATATTATAATGTATAGCAGAGAATGGTACGATGATAATAATCCGGATTAAAGCAGATAAAATAATATCGATTGCTTTTGAAGAAAACAAAAAGGAAAATGCGTGCGAGAGAGAGAGAGAGAGAAGGGAAAAGCTCCCCTTATTATACGATAACGCTGAAAAATAATAATACATAATACCGTTTTAATCGGGAATGTAAGAAGGAGAGAGAGTCATGTCCTTATAATATAAGTCGATCTTTTGCTCTCTTTCTGTCTCTCAAACGTACTGTATAAGCCAATTATTAATTGACGCAGACGAGTGCGCGCACATGCACACACAAACACACACACACACACACACACACACACACACACACACACACACACACACACACACACACATTTTGTGAATTTATAAATTAACTCTCGTTGATAGTACTTGGGCGAACACTGAGAGAGATAAGATAAGAAATCGACAAGTCTCGCGAGGAGAAGTGCATTGTGCGATCGAAGAATATCTATATATAATGACGTACACATTTAATAACGAGTTATAAATCGATCGAATGCCTGGTAATTTGGCTACAATAATGGCACGTAGCTCTAGCTGATTCCTCCTCCTGCCGACAATCCTGACTTTTTTTTCACGATTAATTCGATTTTTATTCGCGACGATAATGCGATACTCAGCGAGTCCCAGTGCAGAGGTGATGGCGTGCGCGTCATCATCACAGCTGCTGCTGCTGCTGCTGCAGATCACGTTTGCCATAATATAACCAGATTCACGCAAAACGAGTTTAATTAGATAATCTTCCTATGCATGTATTATAATCGTCAAAGAGCAACGATATGCGCGCGACCACAATATAACGGGGGCTACCACTATGTGTAGCGTGTCCCGATACACGCTTAGCGTACGTTGTACGCATCCGCGAATTTCCGTCTAAATTACGCATAATTAAATGGACAATAAAAATTATCATGTCATTATCGCTTATAAATTAGTACTTCTGGCGCGATGCACTTATTGATATTATAATATAAACCCGACAGTTTGATAACGGTCGCTAAACGAGGTAGACTCACGTGGTTTAAAAAAAAAAAGAAAAACGAAACGTTAATGTCGATAATGTAATTTTATCCGTTCGAACGAAGTGTCGAAATCAACTTGCGATCATCAATGTGTACGTATGTATGTGGGTGCATGTGATAAGAACGAAGTGTCAGCGTGAAAAAAAAAATGAAAAAAAAAGAGAGAAAAGAAACGAATCGAAACAAACCCCTTGTGTGTAGCGATGATAAAAAAAAAAAAGGAAAGCCGAGGTGCTAAATTCTTATTGGCCTGAGGTGATCCCCACCCGCGCGCACCTTCGAGCGCCGCTGCTGCTGCGAGCTGTCGAGCTCTGCTTGACAATATAGCACGACCGGTCGGTTTATTAATTTCATTCGGCGGCACTATAGCGCGACGCAGCGTACGCGACGCGCGACTCGAACGCAACGCAAGCGACGAAGCCCGACAGACCGAGCGAACCGGTGAATTGTGCGTGTTTATTGTCTCTACTACACTACGCGCTGCGCGAGTTGTTTCGCACGCATAGCATATATACATGAGAGAGAAAGAGTAGAAGACGAGAAGAAGAAGAGGAAGAAGAAGAAAAAATTATCTATCGGCTGGCCAGAGCTTCCGGATAAATTAGTGTGACAGAAGAAAATTTTCGTACGCGTGACTTTACGCGCGCGCGCGACACACACACACACACGCGCGCGCGATATACAACACAATATGCAGCGAGGCAAGCTTCTGCGTAAAATCAAGAAACTGTTGGCGAAGAAATTTTTCGCCAATGTCAAGGTGCGTTTGTGCGCGGGTGGTGGTGGTGATCTGTTCTGCTTTTTTTCGTTGACCCCAAGATTGCAAAAGCGAAGCTTTGAATTTGATTTTTTTGGGTTTTATTTTGTCCAAGCAAAAATCTAAAGTCTGTGTGCTTTTTTCTCTTACAGCCCGTCAGCGAGTGGACTGCGCTAAATGTAGTCGAGTGGATGGCTGCGCTAAATCTCTATCGCTATGCGGACGTATTCAAGTCCAAGGATATCAAAGGTAGCGATCTGCTTAACTTGGACCGGGAGAAGCTATTGGTGAGTTTTTCTGTCTTGGTCGTCTTTTTTCTAATTAATGATGCAACAATCTCTCTCTCTCTCTTCGAAAAATTGCCATAATATTAAAAACTGATGATGCTGGTAGTATATAGCTTCGAAAAAAGAATCACGTTGTGTGCGCGTGTGTGTGTGCGTGTGTGTATATATTTCGGCGACGAGTTTTTCGATGATGACTCAGTGGCTCAGTTATTTTGCATAATGCTAATACATTATGCACGCCGATAGAGACATACACACTCGCTCGCTCGCGCGCGCACGGCTGTGCGAACAATATCGGCAAAAGCTCGCGCGTGCGCGCGAGTGACTGTTAAAATATAAATACCGAAAAAAGATAACGAAAAAAAAAAAAAGGAAAAACGTTTATCACGCATACGCGCACACGCACAAGTTCGCGTCGAAGCTCGCGAAAAAAAAAAGAATCTCGCGTTGACTCATAGCTCAAATATTTATGTGTACGATGTGTGTGTGTGTATGTGTACGTATTGTATGCACAATGTTGACTAGTGCTGCGACGACGATGAGTGCGCTCGCGATCGCCTAAAACAACGTGTACCTCACCACGTTTATACACATATACACACATGTTGCCGTAAAGCTCGCACGACGTTTTCGTGGGCTCGTAAAAAAATCATCAAGTTTTTGCGCGCCGCGCGAAAAACGTGTGTTGAGCTGCACGCGAGCTACTATACGAGCTAGCTGGTTCATACTCTATACAGGCACGTATGTATATCTCAATGGAATGCAATATTTGCAACGTGCCGTGCAGTTTTCTTTTTATCGTCCCGTTTGGTGTGTGTGTGTGTGTGTGTGTGACTCTAATCCGCGAAAATGCGTTCGATTTAAGGGGCCGATATAAAATGAAAAATCCGAGAGAGTAAAGTAAAATAATTGTGATCTGGCGCGCGCGAGCTTGTCAATTAATTCGTTATACGAGCCGCGATCGTAATAATTATCCGATAAAATATATATCGCGTGACACGGGCTGTCGCGGGGCACGCAGGCGGCGGCAGAATCGAATCCTCAATTGATTGATTACTTTGTCGATCGACGGTATTGCTTTTTTTTCATTTTTTTTTTTTTTTTTCAAGACTCGAAGCTTATTAGCACATGCGATCTAATGAAATTAAATATTTTAATCCGCGCGCGCGCTTATCTAAATACGGCTTATAGAGCTCCGATGACGTATGGTAGTTGATACATCTGTCAGCACTTATTATATACACAGTGGACACACCCTCTACTGCTGCCGTTGGGCGCGACTGCATAAAAATATAAATATAAAAAATGGGTTAAAAGTGCAGTAAAAAAAAAAAAAAAATAATAATGGGGAAGGAAAGTGTATAGGCCTGAGAATTACGTGTTTTATTTATACAAGTATTACCGAATGGCGCGCGCGCGCACAGAAAATTGAAGGAAAAAAAAACGCAGCCGGGCCTATACGGCATTACATTTATTAATATTATGAGATTTTTATCAAAAAGCCAGGCGCGCGCGCACGCGTTGAGAGACATAAATATGTTTAGTTGGCATTTTAATGTGCTGCACGCCGCAAAAGTCATAAAGATTTAGCTCCTTTTTTCACGAGATGCAATTATAAGCGCTTTTGCAGGTGGGGCCTTCGTACATATACATGTATACAAACGTAGAGCGCGCACACACGCATGCATACATACGTGCAGATCGTTAAAGAACACGAGAGTCAAAAATCAGTGAAAAAAGAACTCGAGAGAGGAAGAGGGAGAGAGAGAGAGAGATAGCGAAAACATATATTTATATTCATCACGCGAGTTTGACTGATTTTCGTTTAATTTCCGTAAATGAATATTGAAATAAGCTTTCTCTCTGCCCAAAGTTTATTACCGAGCGCTCTCTCGTTTCAAAGGCACACACACACTCATACATACAAGCAGTTTAATCAAGCAAAAGTCCATTACGCCGTTGCTAAGGGTTAAAAGGCAAAAAAAAAAAAAAAAAAAAAAAAACAAGAAACCAATTTTCGTGTTTTCCTCGTTTCACAGAACATGGGCATCAAGGATGAATTTCACCAGAAAAATATACTCGTGTGCATCGAGGAATTGTGCCAGTCGCCGAGCAGCGATAGCAGCGGCAACGGCGGTGGCAACGGCGATGCCCCGGCTACGTCGTCGTCCTCGACGAGCTCGGCCGAGAACACCACCACCACCAACACGACGACGACGACAGCAGCTACGGCCGCAGCAGCGTCGCATCCGCACAATCTCCAGCCGCACAGTTTTAGCGTGCTGCAGAAATGCGACAAGTGCCATAAATATCTGCGAGGATTGTTGCACCAAGGTTTTCTCTGCCAAGGTACGTACGATTTTCCATTTTCTTCTTCTTACTTCTCGTTCGCGCTTTTTTTTTTCCTTTCTATTATCGCGCGACTATTCTGTCACGTTTTGAGAAAGTACAGCGCAGCGGCGAAAAAATGTGTTTCCATTTTCGTCTTATCGAGAGCAATTTTTTTCTCTCTCTCTCTATTCGGTCTCGCTGCTGCTGCTGCTGCTGCGCTACTCGAGACATGCATACAGCAGCGAGAGGGTTAGAGAGGAGAGAACGTTCTACGTGAGAATATGCACGATTATACATGCGCGTACTAGATTCGAACGTGTTCCACCGCGCTGCAGCTGCCTGGCTGCTCTGCGCGCGTTAATTCTTTCTCTCTCTCTCTCTTTTTTTTAAATATCTCTACGCTTTGAAAAAATTGATTTATTTTACACGATCGTCGTCTCGTGGTCGTCGTCGTTTTAAACGAACAAATTCCTGTTCTCGAATATCGATAAAAAAAAAAAAAGAAGAAGAAAGAATTAAAATAAAAATTAAATTACGTTCCTCGTATATACACTTTCAATAATACACGCGTTGGTTGCGAAACTCGGGCGTTCGTTCGATATATACACACAAGTGTGCTCGCGTAAGATGTGATTCTTCGCCTCTCTGTGCTCTGCGCGACTTTGATTGTCAATTAACCTCTCGCGCTGCTGCTCCGGAGCCATGTATGCTCACTTACACGCGTAACAGCAACACACACTCAACACACACACACACACACACACACACACACACACACACTTTTACACGTATATATACCGCTCAATTCATCGGTTCAAGGCTTTTAATATCCTTAACGCGTTGCTGCTGCCGATGCTGCGGCTGCCTCTTCTCGTAATAATACGAATACTCTTCGAGCATAGTACGATCGACGATCGTGCGCGCACACACACACACACAATTTTTTTTTTTTTTGTTATTGCGAGCTCGCGAGCAGCGGCATCGAGTAGTAGTAGTAGTCGTCTATTCGAGATAAATGATCGTTCGCGTTTCTCTAGAGTCTCTAAATTATGACAATGCATGCGGAGGCGAGCCGAGCTAGCTGCTGCTAGCTGGTTGCGGAGAATGAGAAATATTTCAGGAAACGATCGCATCTCGCAGTTACACTAGTCTCTCTTCCCTGTATGGATGCATTTATAAAAAAACGAGCTAATAGCGTATAACGTACATATGAAAATGTGCACTTGAGCATCGCGATGTACGGATTACGCAATTTTTAGGTCAACGCGATATGTGTTGTACACGATCTGCTCTCCCAAAGAAAAGCTTGTATCGAGTATAATAATTGCTTATCGATGCATCTCGTTTCTCTGAGTGCGCGCGTGTGTGTGTACGTACATGGACTTTGATTAAATCATCCATTTATTTTTGCAGATTGCGGTCTTGTAGCTCACCGAACGTGCTCGGCTACTGGTCTACCTATTCCCTGTGCGCACGGCCAGGAAACGTGCGTCCTCAAATTCTCTTCCGGTACGTATAATCAGCGAAGGCGCGAAGTCGATCGAGAGGAATTTTTTCATCAACTCTTTTTTGCTTTTGTTCTTTTTCCCATAATTATTGTAGTATTCGGTCAAGCCCTGTGCGCGCAATTCGACGCGTCGGCGCGCGCGGCGCCGATCCTGATCGAGCGCTGCACCCGGGCGCTCGAGGAGCACGCCGCGGCCGACCCCAAGCTCGATCTCTACAAGGTCTACCACAGCAGTCCGCCCAGCGAGCAGACGATGGAGCTGCGCCAGAAGCTGAACGAGGACGTGCGCAGCACCGATCTCGAGACCTACACGCCCTACTGCGTGGCCAGCGTGCTGAAGAAGTTTCTCCGCGAGATGCCCGACCCGGTGATACCGGTGCAGTTCTACGACAGCTTCCTCGAGGCCGCGGCGGGCGGCAACGACGAGCAGTGCGCCAAGCGTCTGGCTCAGCTGATCAACGACCATCTGCCGGTGCACCATCGCACCACCCTCTATCATCTGATGGCGCACTTCGTGCGCATCTGCAGACTGCAGCACGCCCGGGGCTTCAAGGAACCGCCCACGGTGCTGATCCAAGTACTGTGCCACTTGTTTCTCCGGCCGCCATGGGAGCAAATTATGTACGTTGGACATTTTTTTTTTTTTTTTTACTTGAAAATTTGATGGTACGCACGCGAGCGATAGAACTAACGAGATCTATTTTTTTTTCGATTGCAGTCAAGTCGTTCACAATACCGAAGCACACATACGCATCATGGAGCTTCTTCTGCTGAAGTGCGACTGGTGCGAGCGTCTGCCAGAATTTTCGAGTCCTCCGCAATTGCCACCGCGAAAAGTGTCTAGGGCGCAGTTCACAGTCGCCGAGGCCCAGCAGTTCTTCGCCGCTCACGAAGAGCAGCAACTTCAGCAAAATGCTCTTGCCTTCGGACATACTTTGGAGCCTCAAACGTGAGTATAAAACATATTTATTGAAACTTCCGCGAAACGGAAAAAGAGAGCGAGCTCGCCAAAAATCTACGCAATGCAACACAGCTGATTCTGGCGTCTTTTACGCTTGTTTACCATCTAAATGATAGTCGTAATTAGTCTTCTTTCTCTCCTTCCTTGAGATAAACGCCCGAACAAAGGCAATCAAACGCTTGTGTTTGCTATTTCCGACAAAATTTTGTGCAACATTCTACAATGTCATTATGTCTTGTACACGTTGCAGAAAAGAAAGACCACGCAATCTTCACGAAGCCGAATGGTATTGGGGTGACATAACGCGCGACGAGGTCAACGAAAAAATGATCGACACTCCGGACGGTACCTTCCTCGTGCGCAATGCCAGCAGCAAAGGTGGCGAGTACACGCTCACGCTACGGAAAGGTGGCGCCAACAAGCTCATCAAGATCAGCCATCGCGCCGGAAAGTACGGCTTTTCCGAGCCCTACTCGTTCCTGAGTGTCATCGACCTCGTCGAGCACTATCGCAACTGCTCGCTCGCCCAGTACAACGCGACCCTCGACATCAAGCTGCTGTATCCTATCTCGAGGTTCCAGCAGGACGACGAGATCACGGGCTCGATGGATCCCACCAAAGCCATGCAAAAATACGTCGAGTTGGAGCGCGAGATAATGCTCACGATGAACAAGTATCAGGAAATCTACGAGCTGTTCAATCGTGCGAGTCAGGAGGTGACGCTCAAACACAACGCACTGGAGGCTTTTACGGAGACCGTGAGGATGTTTGAGGACCAGCTCAATGCACACGGCAAGTTCCAGAAAGAGGCTCAGCCTCACGAGGTCGCGCTGTGAGTATTTCGTAACCTTTTTTGACACACACGTGCATTCAAATTTATTTTACTTATATTTCATGACTTAATAATGCCTTCTTTACAGTTTGTTGGAAAATGACGATGCACTGAGGAGAAAACTTCAAGTATGTCGAGAAAGTAAGGACACAGTTGACAAAAGTTTACAGACACAAATAGCTCATACGAGAAGTCTCGAACGAGAGATGAGCAAGTACAAACAGGAGGTTTTACAACTCGGACGTAGTAAAGACAAGTATACTGCGTAAGTATTGGTTTTTGCTGATCTAATAAGTAATTTTTTACACATAAGATTCCCCTGATATTAATTCTGAATTTTACCATGTTCAGTTGGTTACGGAAAAATGGCGTAAATCAAACAAAGATATCACAATTATCGGGCTTGAACCAGAACCGCGATGCCAACATCGATTTACAAGAGATCGATCTAGAGGTTCATAAAGACGAAAAAACATGGCTGTATCTCGAAGGTTCAAGAAACGATGCCGATCGAATTCTCAACGATAAGCCCGAAGGTACATTCTTCATCAGACGTTCTAGAATGGGCCAGTATGCCTTGTCTATCATGTAAGTAGAACATTGAATTATAAAAAATTAATTTCCTCGGTTATTCATTGTAATTTGTCAATGTATACTTATCGATATCGATGCTCAACAGGTGCAACAAAACCGTCAACCACTGTATTATTTACGCAACGGAACGAGGCTTTGGCTTTGCCGAGCCTTACAACATTCACGAGTCGCTGCGCCATTTGGTACTTCACTACGCTCAGAATTCGTTGGAAGAGCACAACGAGCAGCTCACGACTACTTTGGCTTACCCGGCATTCGCACCAGCCGCTGCACTTAGCAAGTTGCAAGCTCAACGGCAAGTACAATTACAGCAGCAAGCGTTGCCGCAGACGCAAGCTGTTGCCGGCACCGGCACTGGTGCGACAGCTGCTACCGCTACTCAAGTCTATCAGCAGCCACTCCAATTACTCAGCACCCAGTAAATATTATATTTAAAAAAAAAACGCGATCAAAATCGCGAGGTGATAATACCTATTATCTGTATATAGATATATTTATCAAAATCTCCCCGTATGTTACGGCGTGAACTGACGATTACATATACTATATATTACATATATATTTAAATGTCGAGAGATGAAGTATGAAGAAGTAAAAGAAAAAAGAGGTAGAGTGATATAGTCGCGTGCGTGTGTGCGTTCATATTATGCCCACGTTTCGTCTAGCTTCTTCGGCGTCAGGTACGCGTCGAGCGACACGACTTTTAACAATCTCCAATTTGTGAAACAAAACAAATGAAACTCACGCGTGTATGTTACAAGAAAATTATTTAATTTATTTATATACCGTAAAACGGTATGTTATGTATTGGACTATACATACATACGCATGTACGTGTGCAAGGCTGCATAACCAGAAGGAGAGAAAATTTCAGTCGTACTGATAATGATAATGATATTTGCAATTCGCCGAGATAATGTCATACATGAAAGGGAAATTTGAAATCCATTACTTACATTACAACGAAGTTCTGTCATATTTGATAAAAACATTTAAAACATTGAAAGGCGAAGTAGTAAGGCGAAGGTTTTTGCAAGAGTAAGAAGCGGTAGACGTCAGACGTTTTGGCAGAGTTTTTTTATACGTAGATTGTAAGTGCTTCCGTGCCAGGGTACGATGAAGACTATCGAACAAAAAATAAATTATAAGAATATTCGCAGGAAATTAATGATATGCGATTATAAAACGATAAATGATCATAACGAATAATGATATAAACGAGAAAAAAGAGGAGAGCAAGAAAGGTAGGAAGCGGGAGTAGGAGTTTTTTTTAGGAATAATTATCTGTGATTATCGAAGTGTGAATATAGTAAACGATGATGATAATGAATTATATGGCGAAGAATGGCTTTTCGATAGTACGTTTTAAAATGCATTTAAGCAGAAGTAAAAAAAGAGACAAAGTGAGAAAAAATTCGGAATAAAATGCGTAAATTTATTGATTAGTTGTTCGACAATTCTATTATAATAAATAATAATAATGATAAATATACAAATGACAAAAGAAAAAAAAATGATGATAAAAATGATAAAACTATTGTGATCGGGGGGCGAGCGACGACTTCACATGCTATATGCGGACGCAAACGACGTTGATATACTATTGATAATAAAAGCGAGTAGCGGGTCTGTCCTCGCAAAGAAAGGAGAGGCCCTCCCACGGCCGATAATAATATATCTAAACATAATAGTTAAGTATCGTTTATTATTTGCTTTTATTTCTTTTAGTTCGTCACTCGCTATCGAGTGGTCAATTTATTATTAGATATTATCATTTTTTTATCGGTCGTAAATGGACGTATTACTCGTGATGATGATGATGATGATGATGATTATGACGATGGTGATGGCTAAAAATTGATCGATACAACTATTCGTAAATATAAGTCGACAAGCCTCCTTTTAAATAATACTTGCATATATTCACGAAGTACACGTGCAGACATAATATTTATGACACAGAACAGTAAAAACAAACGAGTAACATTATATATAAATAATATAAAAATAACTATATTAATAAGTTCGTATAGAGTATTGGCGAGTAGATTTATTAACGTAGTAGTTTCAGTAGTGTTGATGCAATGGATATATGATATTAAAACATTTATATGAATCACTCAACTCTCCGATAAAAAAACACGTTGCTCGAAGATTATTTTAGAAAAAAAAACAAGTCTCAGAACTTTTTTATACTTTCTGATTGTTTGATGATTGAATTCAGTTTTCTTCAATGCTTACCTAACTTACTTCCATAAAATGGTTCATCAACTTCTGTACATATTTTAGTCTTAAAAATATATATTCATATATCATTATCAAAATCATATATTTCATTTAATAAATTAGTTGATGAACAAAGTATACATCATGTTATTTAGGTATCAATTAAGAAAGCTTTTCGAAATTCTACCATTGACTTCGAGCAACGTGGTCCACACGATTCGATTCATATGATAAAATTTGCAAAAAAAACATTCACATTAAACTCACTAGTTCGTATTTAGCGTATTAATATGTGCGATGGATAAATGTTATATAATTAGTAGACGGAGGCTTAGATGAACGCGTTTGCTAAAAAAATGATCATTCTTCTTCTCCCTCTATGAACTTCTTGAAAATGAATACAGACACGAATGCAAAAATTGAAGCGTTGAATAACGTATGCTTGTAAAATATAATAGTGTAAAAAATTAAAAATATTAAAGTAGAATCTAGCGTTTTTTACACCATGATAAAGTCAGAAGTGGGGTTTCAAGAATTCGGAAAAAGTATACTTTGATAACATACTAAATACACACACGCAATTATAATTACAAAAGTACTGTCTTGATGAAAAATGCTCACACGGTTTTAATATTTAATAGTCGTCAAAAACCTCTTTTGGTAAAAAACCAACATTCTCGTACAAAGCATGCGGTTTTGTACGTTTGACGAGAATAATGAGAGTTTCCTAGGAAACTAAAATTTTTCTTTATGCCGCATGTAGACTTACCGAGCCGCGGATACGGATACAATCTTAGATTAGCAAAGAGCATTGAAAAAAAATCCCATGAAGTAATTGTAAGAATTAAAAAAAGGAATAAAAGGGCAACTAAGTCTCCCTTTTGAGTTAATCGAGCTAAAGTGAAATTGATCTCAATATGTGTTGTATGTAGGAATGTCTGTAAATGCGTTCGATCAAAAAATTGAAACGCGTATGAAACAATAATACTTAGAAATATTTATTATAAAAATCTACAAAAGATAAAAAATGCGTGAAACTTTTTTTTTTAATTTCTCGAAATTTTTTTTTGTTTCAGGCGTGAATAAAATCGCGTCGATAACTCATGGTAACTACATGAGACCCGAAGTAAAATATTAAATGTCTATTAATAACGTAAATACATCATATTTATCACTTACTTTCGTGGAAGAAAAAATAGAGAGCATCAACAATTGGCAAAACTTACTTTCCTTGTTGCAATGCCGAAAGATCTTTTCTGCATCATCACTTTTCAATTTCTTTGTTTTCGTTTTTCACTAAGCGATACATAAAAATATCTCAAGATAGTTCGGCTTTTTCTGTTATGTATATCTTGAAATAAAGACATGTTTAGACGGTGCTGCGCTCGGACTCGTTATAATTTGATCTCTTTGTATTAAATTTAGTGCGAACACTTACACGTATCACTTATAGATTTTTAAACTTATAAATAAATCAATTCGGTACTCTTTTTAAATGCGGATACAAACCCGCCAGCATCGTAAACTGTTTTTTTCTTTAAATATAATTCACACAGATATTAAAACATTCGTGTACCAACGCTAACAATACGTTATGAATAATTGTAAAAATTTTTAGAATCCGTGTGTATTTTTTCACTTGGTTGTACATAAATATTGTAATTGAAGATTTGCACAGAAATTGTGTCTTTATCACGATTAATGCACGTTCAAACTTGGTGTTGTTTTTATCAATAATTTTACTGCTTCTTTCTTGAAATTATATATTATACTTTAAAAGTAACAAATGCTTAATTAATAATTACAGAAAAATTTTCTTTACTAATTAAGCATTTGTCCCTGTAGTAAAAATTAGAACTTAAATTAAAATTTCTCTTTGCAAAAGTTTTTAGTGCAACAAATGTCCTGACGTAAGTCCATTACTGTTTCAAATTTTTTATCACTCCAATAATTTTTAATTTCTTTTAAGCACATAACTTTGTACATGTTAACGTTGTTGTTATTATTAACATTATTATGATTAATCGTTTAATAATTTGAATCAGTGTTTTTATCATAAAACCAATCAGAGCACGTCGTGAAGTAAAGAAAATGACAAAATTCATTATTTAGCTTTTCCTAAAGAATTAATAATGGCTGTAATTGAACAAGCGATGTGCTTAAATTAACATATAATAGACGAGATATTTAAAAATCGTGATAGATGAGGGTGAAAGAAGGAAAGAGAGAACGAGAAAGAATCGAAAATCGTTGCCTTAGCTTTTGTACGAGGGTGAAAGATCGAGCGAGTTCGAGCGCCAGGACATACATATTATTTATTTCTAGCCTCCTCTTTTATGATGTAACACATATTGTAAAAAAATATAATGAATATAATGCATGTACGCGAACACACGAAAAAGTGCTCGCGTAAATGTGTGTGTGTAAATTTTCTTTAAGTTCTTATGCGTTTTAATGGGCTCATTTGACTTTTTAATATGATGTGACATTTTTGTATAATCAAGCACTAATATATTATGTGAATATTATGTGTATAAGTGTAACAGACAGACGCACGGTTCGATTGTTTATCTTTGTATATTTGTATAATTTAGGTTTAGCTATTGGCGAAAATGTGACATATATGCTGAACGACATATATATTATATATATTGACGATGGTAAAAAAGTAAAATTTGCGGTGTATTTGCGTTTTCGACGGTGCTGTGCATCGAAGACCTTTATTTTTGTACTTTGATACGGTAAATTTGGCAAATTTTTGGAAAAGGAATTTTTTTCCGAGACTTCCATATATAAAATTATAAACGTCTCTGGCAAAATTAAATTGGTGATTCTAGTTCTATATAAATGAATAAATATCTATCTATATATATATTAAGAATATAAATAATCGAGCCGATTGTCGCTGTTGCGCAATCCAATGTGCGTTTAAAAAAAAATATTTGTAAACTCGATGATTAATGACGAGGTCTGCGTGTGATTGAAAAATGTGCAAGAATGCGAGACACCGAGAGAACGAATTGATAAAGATTATACAATATTATCAACAAATGTATGATACTGTGATACAATTTTTGTTTTCTCTTTGCATGTAAAGTATATATTATAATAATTAAATTTGATTATATTATGAAATGATGTCGATAAATGAATTATGAAAATGAATTGATAAAAGAAGCGATTATCAAGTGATTGAAAATAAAACTTTTGTGGTTAAGCTAAAAAAAGTCATTGTCTGCATTGTGAAAATCATGTGATTTATATTATATTAGAATTAAAGTAGAAAATATCAAATTCTCATGATAAATTTTTTAATAATTGGGTTTCATTTATTGGTTTTTTAAACCGTACCTGAATTAAAAACAAAAGTCTATTACATTATACGTATTTTTCGTTTCATTTGTACCAAGACGCATCAATTTTGCATTAATTTATAAGAATAAACTTCGAACTCATTTCATTCACGAGATGTGTAAATGTTAATTTGAAAGCTACATAATATTACAATTATGAATTTTAAAATAAAAAAATGACGAATCAAGCTGCGGAACACAAAAAAGACTATAAAAGAATAAACAATAGTAACCGTTGTATTTAAGAGATAAAACAATTTTCAACAGCCTATAAACAAGAAACGCAGATTTTTTAATTGTGTACGAGAACCGACGAAGTAATTGTAAGTGGACAGTTGAAGTGGATAATTGTAAGGATAAAATTACCAATTGATATACATCGCTAATTGTATTGTGTAAAACGACATGAAAACACGTGTCACTGCATGTGTAACATTTACACACAGACGCGTGCACAGTACAACACGTATTGTAAACGTATAATTACAAACACTCTTATGTACACGCATACACACACAACGAAAAAAGCTGTGTCTATATATGTTCGAATTTTTTCTTTTTCAATTTCCCGCAACACACACTCATTGTTGTCGTACATGCATCGTCTTGGGATACGTCCACTTTGATGAATAGAAAAAAAAATGAATAAAAAAAACCAAGACCGTCGTTTTTGCGTTTGAAGCATGTTATTTCGTTTGTATTTTTGTCATCCAGCAATCAGTTGCGTGCATTATTATAAAAGTATGAATAAACAAAGTTGAACATACACGCATTCACGCGCGCGCGATCCGATATCCGACTCGTTTCACGTGCCAATTTTTCTTTAGTATTATGCGTCCAGCAGCGACTGACATTTCGTTTGATTGTAATTTCACTTTTTTCTCACTCACAAATCATTGCAATGTAATTTATAATGATAGTGAAAATAAATATAAATAAAATAATTATAATGATAATAATAATCGTCCAACTTCTTGTAATCACATGCATACATTCTCGTGTTATATTAAAAACGTATGTGAAATATACGTTTTGTTTTCTCCATTGATGCGTATTTATAAGTATATGAAACACAAATGTATAAGTATAACATGATTAGTAATAATGATAATAATAGTAGTGACAACTTTTCATTTAAAAAATTTATTAATAAAAAATCGGAGAAAGAAAAACAATTCAAAACAAATGATAGTGATACAAAAATGGAGATCACAAAGTATAAAATTATTGATCATTTATATTATATATATATATTTACATATGCGTGTATGAGTTCATGTATGCATATTATATATTGTATAAGGAGTGGGTACGTGGCAAGAAAGAATCATATAAGGCGAGCGAAAAAGGCCAATCGTAGAGCGAGATGATTGTAAAAAAAAAATTGATCGATACGTAGACGAAGGAGAAAAAAAATAAGATGAAGAAAACAAGCTCATTATAAACGTGACATACACAAGAAAATGAACATTATTACATGATATATATATATAAAGAAAAATAGATTATAACTATTATGATTCTTATTATTACTGAGTATAAGTATCGCGATTAAAAGGCAATATGCGCTGGATGCGAGTGTATAAATGCAAGCTGATTTAAGTGTAATCAAAAGAATTATATGAAGGTAAAGATGAATAATTATAGTAAGACGATTTTTTATTTTTAACTTCGGTTCTCGATTACGTATATGTGCACATGTACACATTTGCACTACATATACACATATACGTACCAACATGTGTTTTAGGTCGACGATATATTAAAAAACAAATATATAAATGTGTGAAAGCGTGACTGTGAAATTATTTATTATTTTTAAAGAAAAAAAACAAATGAATGCAGAAAGTCGATAATGATTAACTAGTGACGATGAAAATAAATGAGAGAAAGAGACAAGGATTGTGATCGTAATATAAAGAATAAGAAAATAAATGAAAAAAAATTATGAACAAATAATGAAAAAAAAAATTTACCAAATGGCGAACGAGGAACTTGTCGCTTGATCGTTCGCTGATCTGGACAACGTTCTTTCGTTCGTCGATTTCCATCTACATATTTAAAACGAGAAAAAGAAAATAACATACCTTTCATTTGGTAGTAAAAAAAACTCTGTAAAACCATTTATATTTGCTTATGATTAGTATGTTTTAATTATAAATGCTGAACACAAAACTTAAATGACCGCTGTTGTTATTCATTGCCTTCCTTCTTCTCAGATGCGTTTTTTTTCTTTTACACGACGTATTCGAGTTATCTTGAAGCTTCTTTAAAAAAATCTAAAATTTACCATACTCCTCGATCCCAATAGCTGAAAATCCAACGAATCGCCGCAGCTCACTCAAACGCACAGGGGATCGAGAAATATTTGAAAGTTTTGCAGCGGATATCCAGCCACATGTGCTTTTTGGATCTTTCTACAGATTACAGAGACGCCGCCGCCGCTGGTACATTGCTCTCTTTCATACCTGCCAAAGTCCTCCTTATCCGTATTATCGAGAGAGAGGGACGACGACGTGGAATTTGGCAGCGCTTCGCGTGCACCGGAGTGTCCTCGCGATCGATAATTTAGGTACACGCCTGTGTGAAATTCATCCTCATGCTGCTGCTGCTGCTGCTGCTGCTGCTGCTGCTGCGCCCTTTTCTGCGCGCAACTATTTCGACGCGACGACCGGACGTGCTTCAAAGTGGCCGCACCGGTTAGAGAGGGAATGGTCGCGCGAGATTTTAAGCGCTTATGCGCGCGCGATTCTCGTCAATGAAATGCATTCCGAGCATTGTTGGAATAATCCCCCTTCTTTATTTTATTTTTCAAGCTCTCCCTCTCTCACTCGATATCGAACCCCGGCACCTGGAGATACGGATTGGTTAATAATTGCTCGATCCACCAAGCGGGCGCAAGGCGAGCGAGCACGACGTCGAAATTTGTCAATCCCTTGCCAGCCCCCGGAACGAAACTCAAATACTTTGCGGGGGAGAAGCGTCAGAAAAAAGAATCGATAAAGTTGTAATACCCGCGCGACGACGATGGCACGCGTCGTCGCATATACATGCACGCGGAGCATGAGCAGCAATGAAAAATCGGCGGCGGCGTGGCACAGGTGACGCTCGCGCGCGCGCGGACTTTGTCAAATCGCTATGCCTGACTCGACGCTGACTAATATCACTTGGCCGATTAATGCGTCTCATCATCGTCGTCGTACTAGGAAGGGAGTTTAATGCGATACGCACGGCTAATTTCATCGATAAACACTCGCGGGGGTCAGGTAGTCGCTGAATGAAAACATCACTTTTTATTCGACGACGTTTTGTGCAAACACCGGCTGACTTTACTACTCCGCCTCTGCACGCTATGATGTACACGTACACATGCTAATTGTATAATTGTATCGGAATTGCATAATTGTATCGTGTCAGAAGTGAGCCGCAGCGAGAACAGAGCAACCCCAAAGACACAAGACGATGACCCGCGGCTTCTTGTATAATATCACGGACTCGTTTTCGTGCTTGCGAGCGGCGAAGCGTCCGAGTGACGCTAGTAGTAGCATAGCTAGCTCTGTGCATACCTCTTTCGCTTGGCTCGAGGCACGATTTCTTCTCTTCTTCTTCTTCTTCTCCTCCTCTTCTTCTCTTTCTTCTTTATGCGGCTCGAGCGTCGTGTGTTTGCATATGTACGAGTCTCTTTCTCTCTCGTTTTTTTTTCTCTCTAGCGACAACGACGACGACGTTGACTTGTTAGCGACCGGCGTCGGGGGGGATATATTCGTATAAATGCCGCTCGCTGTTAGGTATATAGAGACAGAGGCGTCCGACGACATGAATATTTTGCCGGCTCTGTAGTTTTTTTTTTGCTCGCTCGCTCGTTCGGATCGTCACTCTTTACAAATGTTCGATAAGGAATTCAAAATCTCGCGGCGTTTCGCACGTCGTCTACCTAAATCTAACCATCAATCGCAACACAATCAATCCATTAATTTTTGAAAGATGCAGAGACATGATGCATACGAAAAAAAATGAGCGATTGAGCTTTAATCGTAATAACACGTGCTAAATACTATTATGTAGTGGTGTAGGTACAGAGAAAGTTTCTTTGCGTAATCGCACGCACGTGTATGTGCGCCTGGATGAATGTCATTTTCATTGCAATTTAGGAATTTTTATGGCGAGTCCCTCTATATGTATCGCAATGCATTACTATGCACAGCCAGTTGATAGTGGCGGGGAAAAAGTAAACGCCACAAGGAAATATCACAATCGGAGGTGAACTTTGTTATTTGTTGGTCTATGCGAGTAATGATTTCAGTCGCTTTCGAGAAGCTAAATTGTTTAATTAGTATTATATCAATAGAATAGTATAAGTTTCTACCTAGAATCAAGGTTAATTGTGAATTACTAGATGCACATAACCTCGAATATTCTCGCAGTGAAAATTCACAGTGAATCAATATAAACAAACAAGTGATGGAAATCACAGAAGATGCAGTTAGGTAGGTATAATATATTTTGTTTGTTCATTGATATTTTTTTAAGCTATTGCTTCATTGAACTTGATTATTGAATTCTTTTTATTAGGGTGAAGGAGGAACCGAACGATACTTGCCCAGATGCAGATGACGATTATAATTTCGATTTGGTGAACTCTTACGAAGCCAAAAACATTGAAACATTGCCATTCCATGAATTATCGGTGAGTTCAATGATTCAAATTATGACATATGTCGATCAGCTCCTTGATCATTTAATTCAAAATTTTCATTTCAGTACAATGACGTGAATGTGGCTGGTCACCTGAAGTTAGATGAAAATATACTAATTAACTGCGAATGCAAAAATGTTAAAGTAAAACTACCATCTCTACTGACAACCATTTGCAAATCAAAGCATAGCCTACCTATGAAAGGAGAAAACCAAAATCAGACCACTTACTTGGATGGAAAAAGCCCAATAGTTTTGATAAAGAAAGATTTCAATTATCATAGTAAGTGTTTCTTTAAAGTAAATCCCCGATTAAAAATGGATAAATATTCGAAAATTAGAATTTTAGAAAAAAATATTCAACCAAAATTATCCTATGAATACAAAAGAGAAACCAGTTTAAATACACTTGTCAGCTTATTTCGTGAAAAAATTAGACCATATGAAAATGAAATTTGCTACAAGTCATTTGCATACAAAAGTAGTCATTCACGTACAAAACCCTTCGAATGTGAAGAGTTATTTAAACAAAACAGTGACCTCAAACATCATATGAATGCTGTACATGAACCCAAAGAACTCTTTGAATGTGAGATATGTCAAAAATCATTTGGACAAAAACCTATTCTGAACAGACACATAAATGCAGTCCATAATCGTATTGAACCCTTCGAGTGTGACATTTGTCAAAAATCATTTGATTACCAAAGCGTCTTGAAAAGACACGTCAATGCAGTACATGATCACAGTAAACCTTTTGAGAGTGAAATTTGTCACAAATCATTTGGACAAAAATGTAATCTGAACAGGCACATAACGACGCTGTTAAGGAATACTAGCACGTTCCAATTCATTAGCGAAAACTAGCATTTATTTGAAAATTTCGATTTTAATCGAACACTAGCATATTTCAAAAGGTCAAACGAAAACTAGCACGTTTGGATTGTGGTTGCAAAAAAAAATGATGGAATTAGTAATACATATTGATTTAATTATAACGCGCCTGTCTCGAGCTATTATTTAGTTCAATCGCCCTACGTCTAACTTTCTTTCAGAGTACCTAACCAATTCATAATTCTTCTAAGTATTGTTGTTGAACCAATCTTTCAACAATCCTAATTACCATCTAAACCATTTCCTGAGTACTTATTCTTTATTGATACGAGAAGATATAAGAAAAATCATCTATAATAAAGAATCTATGCAAACAGTGACAATTTGATTCACTCGATGAACAATATATCGTCTACCTTACGATCTGAACCATTTACCGAATTTCCAAGATCAATTTTCAAGCGCTCGATCAAATACAGGCTATCGTTTTCCGTAAGATAGAAGGAGACGCGAGGTACACAGGAGCGAGAGAGTCACAAAATTAGCGCAGCGGTGCTGACCGTCCCCGAGTTATTATTTCGAATTCGTCGCCGATATTATAAATTTCCTCAGCCAGCATAATTCGTCATCTTTAACCCGTAAGCTCTTTCCGATATGGAACGCGCGCATATATATACATACAGCTGGCCGTGCGCGCGCGAGAGACTTCAACGAGCGAGAGAGACTACAATACCTCGGCGCCATGTAGAAATTCATCGTGCACCACTACTACCATATCGCTACTACTGTTCTCAAGCTCGGGGGCTGTATATACATCGATCGCAGCACATATCGCCCCGAGTAAAAGCCTATACGTATATATGTATGTGAAATCGTACTGCTCTGACTCTTAAATTGATCTGTTGCCGCATACTATCGATCCCGCGAGTCTCGAAGGTTAATCGCCTCGTTTCCTAATTTTGCACAAAGCCGGGGCTCTCTCTAAAAGTCGAATAATAATAATTTCCACACACTAACTCGCATCCCGTCCCTCCTTCCTCGTGCATAGAGTGCCGAGAGAGACAGAGAGATCGACGCGCAGACACGGAAAGTAAAAAAGAACCGAGAAGAAGAAGAAAAAAAAATTTGCACGAAATATTCACACGTGCACACATTGATGCACACGGCGGTGGCGGTGGCGGCATACGTATAGCGTAGCGCGCAGGTAGGTACATCGGCGGCTAGGTGCATAGGTCGGAAAACGAGGTCAAAAGCACAGCAGCAGCAGCAGCAGCAGCAGCATGCGCACGCGGCCTGTGCCGCACACAGAAATGAGAGAGAGAGAGAGAGAGAAAGAAAAGGTGAGCGGGCCGCGCGCACACAACTGCTGCCGCCGCTGTTCCGCGTGCAAAAGCCCATGTACACCTGAGCACTGGCACGCACACCAATATAGCAAAATACTAGCAGCTCGTAGTAGTTGTAGAAAGTCAGTAGTAGTAGTAGTAGTATATATATGCAGCGGCGCAATGTACAGGAGCGAGAGAGAGAGAGAGAGAGAGAGAGAAAAAAGCTCTCTGCAACGCGCATGCGAAAGGTAGAAAGCGCCTAGAGAGAGAGAGAAAGTAGGGGAGTCGTAACGTATATAGCTATACGTACACCCCACTGCACTACGGCAGGTTGGAGGGTTGTGTGTGCGGCGCGGCGCGCAAAAGGTGAGTTGTCCGCAATTCGGATTCTATATATATATCCATCTACGCTACTATAACTTCGACCCCCACCACCCCTGCGCTACTCGAGGGCTGTACGCGAATTCGCTCTCTCAACCTCGTGTGCGCGTCGCATGCTCCGCTGCTGCCGAGAGTCAGTCCGCCGTCAACGGCCACGCCATAAGCATCGAGAGTGTGTGTCGCGTCACGTTGTGATATAACGTGGCTGCAGGCGCGAGGAGACGGCCTTTTTTGCTCTTTGCGCCTATGTCCATGCATACAGACGTAAAAGTACACGGTTTAGAAAAAAATTGAAAGGGGTACGAGTCGAGAGAGTTTCGGGGATACGAATTTTGCGCGCGCTGCGCTCCGCGCGTGTAATTGTTCAATTTTCCCCGTAGTTGAACCGATTTTTCGTCGCGTGTGATCCAAGTGTTGGAAATAATTGCAAATTATCGATGTTGAGCGGAGGGTGAAAAAAAAAAAAAAATAATAATAATAATAAGAAATTGACGTGTGTTGGAATGGAATAATGAGTGCGCCGTGACTATGACGAAGCAGCCCACGAGGACGATCACGATGCAGCAGCAGCGTCAGCAGTCGCCGATTCTATCTTCCACGGCGTCTCTACCGATTTTCGAGGAGCAGCTGTTGCCGGTGATCGCGTCACGCGTATGAAGCGAAGACACCGTAATTAACATCTCTTTCGAGAGAACAAAGATCGAATCGAAAAATCGAGACAGCGAGAGGATGAAAAAAAGCAAAATGAAACTGAACTGGTGGCGATTGTCGAGGCTCCGGACCACGACCACCACCGCTTCTCCTGTGTTAATGTTGTTGTTATTGTTGATGATGATGATGTGCGTCGTCGAGGCCAGCGAATTTCCCGAGCGCGAGTGCTGCGATCCGATCTATCCGATGCCCGATCCGACGAGCCGACTGCCGAACGTGCCGTCGCCCACCGGCAAGACTGGTGAGTAGCACATTCTTTTTTTGGCTCGCAGCGTCGGAAGCACGAGAGAAATATCAACACGAGTCCTCCGGAATGCACGATCTTGCATATCGTGCGCGCACGAGAGCAGCCCAGTCAGTCCCGCGGAGATTTTGATGCCGCCGCGCATAGACGCGTTTATGAATAATTTCGAACTACTACTACGCCGTGTGAGTTTTTTTTTTTTTTTTTTCATTGAAGACTCGCTCTTATATTAGAACCGGGCGCGCACTTGGCTTTTTCGGGGGAGTGGGTGGCCAATCGCGTGCCTTGGCACATTTCTCGCTCGGCTCGCGGCTCGGAGCTCCGCGAGGTAAGAGAGTGACCCACGAGGCACTATACTTATACTGCACACGAATCGATTCGCGCTGCACGCGGCAGGCAGACACAGCAGACTGTGTGTCACCTGCAGCATGTTATACATACCTGCGGGCCTGCCTGCTATAGATGTATATAGGCGAAACGCACGTTCGAGAGCGCGATACATATACCCGTATACATCGGTTTATTGGAAACTTTATACATTCTGAGAGAGGAGAGAAATGATCGATCGCGGCCAAGTTAAACGCGCCGATCGTTTTTGCGCGCGAACGAAAGATAAAAAAGCACACGGGACGGAATTAGCAGCTTTACGCGAGCATGTGTGTATTCTACGATTGTTTTTTTGTTAACCTTTTTTTTACGGTAAGAGAGAAGTTGTCTGCTGACGATATACATATTACAAAGAATTTTGATCAATGATTTATCAATTTATTCGGAAAAGCGTATACGTGTGCGGGCTATTGTGGTCTTTTTCCCGTTAACTGGCCCTTTCTGTTGCTGCTTTTTTTTTCTTTTTAAAACGATGACGTGCACGGTACACGGTTCGAGTTCAGCACCACCGCACGATGGACTGAATGATTAATAAAGATTAAATTGTTTGTATTTTCGTATACACGATCGCGATAATGCCTCGCTTCGTAAACATTACTCGGGGGTCTCGTTCGTTTACAACGACGACGACTCGCCTGCGGTTTTCGCAAATTTTAATTTTTCTCTCCCGCTCCCTCTCGCAGCGATGACTCGGCAAGTTTAACGTTAGACCAAGCGTCGTTATAATTTAACGAAAGAGAACGAGCGAAAGAATTATCCACAAAAAAGTGAGATAAAAAAAAATCGACCCTTGACGTTGGTGTTAATTTACCAAACGCACCTGTGTGTGTGTATCTTTTCGCGCATTTTTTCCGTAATCATGCTGCAACAGTAGCAGCAGCAGTCACCGACGCCTGTGTGTATATATCCCAACATATATATCTACGTGCCAGAAGCCTCCTCTTTCGCGTTGTTCCTGCTGCTGTGTGCATGTGTATACATACGCCGCGTACCGACCTACTTCTCTCTCTCTTTCTCTCTATTGCATTCCACGTGTGTGTATGTGTGTGCGAGTGCAGTGCCTTAACGAGGCCTCCGGACTCGTGTGTGCAGCAGCAGCAGCAGCTCTCTCTCTCTGTCTCTCTCTCTCTCTCTGTCTATTATATGCCTCTGCACTCACGCGTACAGTGTACGACTCGGGATTTCGCCGCTGGCCCCCGACTCCTTTGCTCCACCCACTAGAGAGTGCAGTTACCCTTTCGGCAGCAGCAGCAGCAGCAGCTTTTTTATACATCTCTCTCTCTCTGTTTTGAAAGGGGATGTATAACGACTACGCGAATCACTTATTTCGCGTTTTTTTTTCGAGGAAAAAAAAAGGATGTAGTCTAGGCTTTCTAATTCGGAGTAATGGACGTTTACATATGTTCTGACCTCGTGACTATTTAATGTATACGATTTTACAATACTGAGCTTCAAAGCTTTTTGAGGATTTATACATAAAAATGACTGCGAAGCTTTTAAGCGTTGGATGAATATTAATATAATGTATGCTTTTTGTTAAACTAGTGTATTTAGTCACTTTTAAATACGTTGATTTTACGATTCGACTCAGCACCGTAATACAGCAAGCGCTGATGATCCATGTTATATATTTTCGTATAAATTATACCAGATGCGAATGATGACGCATTTTTTCGAAAATTCTCATCGCCCGCACGCAGGGCCAGGCGCGCTGTTTATCCATCCCCCGTCCGTATTTTTCTTGATCCACTACTGCCGCTGCCACACGGAAAATTCAGGAAAAAACTTTGACGCTAAAAAGTCCGGATCCATGCTATATATAGCTCATAGCTATAGCTAGCTGCTGCCGTATATGGCTCATTTAATTAAGAAAATTCGCTTCAAACCCGCGCGCGCGCGCGTGGAACTGATTCCATGTATAAAAAAAAAGAGAGTGAAGCGAAAAAGCCAAAAAAAAGGGGGGAGGGTAGAGATAAAACTAGCTTTGCCAGATGACGAAACGCTTACTTTTCATGCGCGGAATCGGGCACGCGGCGTGAGTATATACGTGGAAAAATGCACCACCCAAATAGTTTTGAAAAGCGAGTAGTCGAGCTGCTTCTGCTGCTGCTGCTGCTCGTCGCGCATAGATATTCAAAAGAAGATATTCGATTACTGATAGAAAAGTGTGCTCCCCGTTTTGCCTTTTACTCTCTGTATATATATAGTAAAGCGGCAAAACCGAACGAAAACTGCAAGAGCCTGTATTATATTATACATATAGTATAGAGGCTATATATGTGGGACTCTGAGCAGCAGCAGTAGCAGCAGCAGCAGCAGAGCGTTGAGTGGAAGGCCAAATTTATTCACTTTCGATGGGAGTTTTCAAGTGAATTTTTGGCTTGAAATAACGCATTTTGTGTACAGCCGCTGCTGCGCGCATGAAAAAGCTCGACTTCGCGCGGCTGGATAGAGAGAGAGAGAGAGAGAGAGAGAGAGAGAGAGAGATAATATCTCTACCTCTCTTGGAAAACGAATGCGAGCGCCGCGCCCAGCCATGAATATAATCGCGCGGACTCGAGATATATTATATAAGTATCTCCCCTCTCAATAAGTGTGGCGCCAAAATTTCCCGCGTATTTATTATACAATATATACAACAAAAAAAGAGTACTCTTTTTTAACGAAATTTTAAATGCGCTTCTTCACAAGACAAACAGCACTGCAATAGCTTTGCAGTTTATTATAGCTTCGCAGCTTTGATGACTGAATATTGCTTCGTGTGTATCTATTTTAATCGCTGCTGCTGCTGCTGCGAGTAAGGTGTATACGTATGTGTACCATGGGAAAGCGCGCGCGCGAACAAACATGCTCTCGATCGCGCGTATACATCGCGCGAGTTTCACTCTACATTTAATCTGCCGATAATCGGGCGCGTCGTCCTGCGAGCGCGAATCGATTATCGGAGCTAGATTACATCAGGCAGCTCGTTGCTGGGTGTATACGTGTATCCACACACGCACACACTTGAGAGCTCCGATGACAACATAGGCACGAGAAAATACGTCGAACGAGTGTACACACGATGAGAGTTTTCAGCTCGGGCGCGAGAAAGCCCAAAACAAAATAGCAAAAGTATCGTTAAATTTACAAATTGCCTATACGTAATTCTTATACGCTGTCGTTGCTCGAGATAGGCCCGCCCAGGACGAGTCGTTACTGCGTAAATGTAAACACACGTAATTTTTGGCGCGCTTATTACGTGCCGTACATATTTACCAAATCATACTTTGTAACGTACATCGTACCGTCTCTCGGCACAGTATCGTCTCGTCCTCTGCCTAGCTCGCACCTAGACCCAGAAAAAGTTTTCTTACTCTCGACGACGTAAAAAAAAAAAAAAAATAAGTACAAGTTTAATCATGAATCCAACTCGGTCGAATCAACAAGAAGCGTCGGCGTCGTGCAGCTGGAACGGCAGCCTCCCGCCGGACGGCAAGATCCGCCAGTATCCAAGAAAGTTCAAGACGAGTCCCGACATGAAAGCGGCCATCGTCCTGGACAAGGTGCCGGGGCTCGAGCTCGTCGAATACATCAACGCAGTGAACGCGGCCGTGAGCCCGGCCAGGGTCGAGTGGGCCGACGAGCTGGAGCCTGCGCAGGTCTGCCTGTTCCTCTCGGACGTCACCGCGGCCCAGAACTGCCACGGCGTGTTCGTCAACGTCGCGGGACACAGGCTGCGCGCCCGGGCGCTCACCGACCCGCCGCTCGTGCGAGTCCTGGTCACGAACGCGTCGCCGCTCACCGACAACGAGACGATCGAGTGGCATCTGGATCGGCAGCACAATATCAAGGTGAAGAATTGGGTCCACCTGGAGGCGAAGCCGAGCCGCAACCCACAAGCGCAGCCCAAGGAAAACGTGCTGAGCTTCGTGCGTTATTTCTACATCGAGGCGCACTACATACCCAAGCTCCCGGCCAAGATCGAGGGCAGGGCGCACGACAAGTCGTACACGATCTACTTCGGCTCGGAGGATCACTGGTGCGACTTCTGTCACCGGGTCGGCCATTACGAGTGGAGCTGCTCCAAGCAACTGATGGCCAGGTCGATCGGCTTGAACCAGAGGCCGACGATACCCGTCGTGAATGGCACCGCACCGTCGTCTACGCTATCTACTCCGCGGAAAAATGTCGGAGTTTATTACGACGACACGAACAGGACGCCGACGACGCCGAATGGTATGGATCGGTCGGCTCCGCGGTCTACGCGGTCTACTCCGCGGAAAAATTTGGGAGTTAATTTCGACGACACTGCCGCGGAGAGCAATGGTACGAATCGGTCGGGTCCGCCGTGTACTCCGCCGAAACAGTCAGTAGCACCCGGAGACGATGTATCAGGAGGTTGTTAATTTTTTTCTTTTAATCCGATCGTTTTGACATACGAATTTTTTTATTTTTACGATTATTTTCTATTCAAAAGCTTTTGGCCTCCGATTCGTCTTAGCACATGAGAAATCTCCGAGACAGGTCAAACATGTGCAGCCATCGGCCCCCCCGAGCCTCGTTGGCGATCATGCCGATGGAGCAGCCGCAGCAGAAGCAGCAGCAGCAGCAGCAGTAGCGATAGAAGC